TCAGCAGGGTTTAAATCTGTATGCCTGGAAACTTCTTTCCTTCTGCCAAGTGTTCTGTAAAGTGAGCAGTGATTTCATTACCAGCAGCTTCAACAAAGGCATTGGGATCTAGCCTGTGTTGAGCCAAAACTGAAGTAATTTCTTAAAATTAACTGTCACGATAAAAATGATCTCTTAAACTTATTCTATGTTTCTTGTACATTTGCAGGTCTAGAAGAAATTGCAAAAGAAAAGGAGAAGTTAAAGAAGGAAGAAAGCATGCACATCAAAGAGGAGGAGTTTGAAACAGAAGAAAAATTACACTGTTTAGATACAGCTCACTGTGAGCAAAAGGACGATCTGAAGGAAAAGGACAACACTAATTTGTTTTTACAAAAGCCTGGGTCATTTTCCAAGCTAAGCAAACTGTTAGAGGTAGCAAAAATGCCACCTGACTCCGACATGATGTCCCCAAAGCCTAACGGCAGTGCAGCCAATGGCTGCACATTGTCTTACCCCAGTAACTCCAAGAACTCTCTCTGCAGCCTGCAGCCCTCAGCACCCCCGAGCGCCGACAAGTGCGACCCTAACAGCCTTTTCAGCCCTAACGCCAGCGGGACGGGCAAGTTTTACAGTGCTCCCCTCCTGCCAAACGACCAGCTGCTGAAGACGCTGACGGAGAAGGGCAGGCAGTGGTTCAGCCTTCTGCCACGGGTGCCCTGCGACGACACCTCGGTGACGCGCGTGGACGCGCCGCCCGGCGCTGCCTCCCTCGCGCCGCAGTCGCCCTCCAAGTCACCCTCCCCTGTGCCATCCCCTCTGCTGGGCTCAGCCTCTGCTCAGAGTCCCATGGCACTGAGTCCCTTTGCCCTGTCACCGCTGCAGGTAAGGGACCCCCAGTTTTGTCGTGGTTTGAGCTCGCAGCGCTCGTTTGGGCAGCACTCCTGGTTGGATGGGTGTGCGCTCATTGTATCTTCATTTCTTGGATTTTTTTTCCCCCCTGTGTCTAGATGTTAATAACTAGTTCCGTCTACAGAAGTTTAATAATACTAGATTAAACCAGGTAAAATTAGGTAAGCCGATGTATGATATTTTGTATGGATATGTCAGTACTTTAATTTGGCTTTTAGGAGATTGGTCGCTGGCATTAAAGGAGAGGCAAGAAAATAGAAATGAGTGCTCAGAAGTGGGACACACCACACCCTACCTTTAAAAGCTGTTATTTTTTAGCATTAATAAATAATAAGGAGCATTGCACGTCAGTGTTACATTAGCTTTCCTCAAACTAGTCAGAGTACTGACTACAGGCCTCGTTTATGTTTTGATCACTGTTTGACAAATAGCATCCTAATCCTAATTCAGGTTTCTTGGCATTAATAATGGTACCTGTGCTCTGTAGCAGATGAAGACTGGACTACCCATAATGGGACTTCAGTTCTGTGGATGGCCTACAGGAGTTCTCACCTCAAATGTTCCATTTCCATCTCCTTTACCTGCTCTCGGATCAGGGTTGGGACTGTCAGAAGTGAATGGTAACTCATTCTTGGCATCTAGTGTTCCTGCAAGTAAAAGTGAATCACCAGCACTACAAACTGAAAAAATAGTTTCTGCCCCTTCTACAGCATCTGAAGTAGCCAAGCCAGTCGATTATCCCAACCCAAAACCTATACCAGAGGGTGAGTACAATACAACAGTAAGGAAGGGTAATTTCTGGAGTTCCACTGTGATGTTACAATTGATTTTTATATAATTTGCCTATTGAATTTCTAATCTGATTGTGTGTGATTGCATAAAAACAGTGCCTGCAAAGTGTCTGTATGCTTGTCTTGATTTAGAAATGCAGTATGGGTGGTGGAGGATTACTGATCCAGAGGACCTAAAGTCTTTGCTTAAAGTGCTGCATCTCAGGGGAATAAGAGAAAAGGCCTTACAAAAGCAAATACAGAAACACATGGATTATATCACTCTGGCCTGCATCAAAAACAAGGATGGTATGTAGTTATGTTTGTTACACGTGGTGTTGGGACATCAGACAACTGGCATAGATAACCTTGGGCTGAACAAAGAGCACAGAGCTCTTTGAGATGTGTTTAGAAACAAGAGTTCTAATGGCTGGAGAAAAAAGGTAAAGGTGTCCTTGCTTGTAGTTCCCTTTTCTCCAGCCTTGTTCTGGAAGTTACTGCATTGGAGAAACACCATATAAATTGCTGTAGTGGCAAAAGGGTTGGTAACTTTCTTAAGCTCTTTCCATCTCTGTAACACTGCAGCTCAGCCTCTGCTTCCCCTTCTTGCCTTTCAATTGCAAGTTTGAAATCATCCAGCATTTGTTGTCCATACTGGGTATTTTGAGTAGTACATTTTTACAACAGCTCTTCAGCATTTGACTGGAGTGATGGATAAATCAGCTTGAATTTACCAGAAAAGTTATAATGCTAATTAAAATAATCAAAATGTGATTTTCAAATACAGTTGCAATTATTGATATCAATGAAAATGAAGATAACCAGGTAACTCGGGATGTTGTGGAAAACTGGTCAGTAGAAGAACAAGCAATGGAGATGGATCTTGCTATTCTGCAGCAGGTGGAAGATCTAGAGAGGAGAGTTGCATCAGCTAGTTTGCAAGTTAAGGTAAAACCAACTTTCAGTAAAATGTCTCTTTAAAGTAAGTGGTAAGAATTCAAAGCAAACAGCAGTGCTTTTGCTGTTGGTAAGTGCCTTCTTACTCCACCCCAGCTGCCTGCAAACAAACACGTCCACTGCAGTGGTGTCCTGGGAATCTGTGTTTGAAACATTTCATTGCAGTTCAGTCTTCAGCTGAAGATGCTGAGAGTGGCAGTTCCTGGCGAGTGTTCTCCTGCAGTGTGCAGCTCCTGCATGTGTTGTTAGCCTTCTGTGAAAGCAGAGATTGTATTGCATCTGGGCTGCTGAACTGCCCTGGGGTTTGCCACGTTCTGCCTGCTCTGTGTGATTGGGGCTGTTAATGCTCTCAGAAAAGCCTACAAGTGCATCATAATACTTTGCCTGAGTGTTGTTGAGCCGTGGAGAACACGTGGTGGTTATGAGTGTGGTAGAGTTAAGAAATCTCTGCTGTCGTTACAGCTGGGAGTTTTCAAGGTGGGTGTAGGGTATCAAACTGCATGTGTTTGGTTATGGCACAGGTGCAGTGCTTGGGCTGGGTTGGCTGTTTCTGTGTGACCAGCTGAGCCTGCTGGGCAGGTACAGCTGTTCTGGTGTTGGGAACAATAGAACAGGACACTTGACAAGGGGCTAGGAATGCAAACTGTTGCAGAAAGGTCCCTTCAGAAAGTCTGGTAATGCTTGTATCTTTTGATTAATTATTTTAGTTCTCTGGATATTTTGGAAACTGTCTCTACAGATGGAATACAAGTAACCAAGATCTCCTGGAAACAGCGCTCCAGTTACTTAGTTTGAGTCCATAACACAGTTCCTCTGTTTGCACGCTGAGTTAACAGCAAGCAATAAATGCACAAACCTTTCTATTGACATAGGGTTGGCTGTGTCCTGAACCTGCTTCAGAGAGAGACGACTTGGTATATCGTGAACATAAGTCAATTGCTAGATTGCACAAGAAGCACGATGGGGATTGTGCTGGAGGCGGAGAAGGCAGTGCCAGCTCTCTAGAGCGGAGGAGTGACAACCCTCTAGATATAGCTGTCACCAGGCTTGCTGACTTGGAGCGGAACATAGAGCGAAGGTATCTGAAGAGCCCCTTAAGTACCACCATTCAGATCAAACTGGATAATGTGGGCACAGTTACTGTCCCTGCTCCTGCACCATCCATTAGTGGTGATGGTGACGGGTAGGTTATTGAGATTAACTTGAAAAATTATTGTGCTTCTTTGCTAATTGGAGCCTATTTTCTTATTGCCTGTTATCTATGTACTTTCTTGTATGTCTGTGATCCACACGGATCATGTTATTCTGCATGGTGCTTTGTAAAGATATTTTTTGTTACGTTTGTTGATAATCTTGCCAAGTTATCTTCCATTTAACTGGTTGTGACTAAGCTTTGAGGCACGTAGCCACAGTCTGTGCACTACATGAAATTTAGTTGCTTAAACCTTACACTTATTGGCTGTGTACGTTTTGTCATTGCTTGGCTTTCAGTGTGATAATGATTGTTCCACGTGTAAACATCTGCAAACGTGGATGTGACCTACTTAATCTCCCTGTATTCCAATGCAGAACTGAAGAGGATATTGCCCCAGGGCTGAGGGTGTGGAGAAGGGCACTGTCAGAAGCACGCAGTGCTGCACAGGTGGCTCTGTGCATTCAGCAGTTACAGAAATCAATAGCATGGGAAAAATCTATTATGAAGGTTGTAAGTATCTAAACTGGTTTCTCTATATCCTATTTTCCCGTTTTAGACATTTTAAGTTGCCATGGTAAATAATGCATTTCTTCATGCAGAACTTCACATAGTCACACTGTGCATTGTGCACAGATGAACATAAACCCAATGGAAAAAATTGTCCCTTGTTTGCCAAATTCAGCATCCTGGACTTGCTAAGATACAGAGCACTGTGACTGGTTACTTTGCTTAAGGTGGTAATTACTCTTTGATGATGACATCTAGGTAAAACAGAGTCATTTCTGGCTCCATCTGATGGAAGATACTCTTGTCTGATGGAGTGTTTCTGACCTCATCTGCAACACAAGCTTTATGGAGGTTCAGCATCACGTGTCCCAGGCAGGGACTTCATTTTTCAGAAAGCTGAGATGCCCCAGATGTGGCCTCTTTTCATGGCACAAGTTATTCTTCATTTGTGGTCTTTTTCCAAATTTTTCATTTCTGCCAGTCTGTACAGATTCTAATTACATCTGGGCAAAACCTTCTTGAGTTTATACAATTGTAAGTTTAAGGCTGTATCTTTAGAGCAAAAAGCTTATGAATTTGGTAGGAGCACCTGAAAAGGCATTTGAACCTTTCCAGGTGTAGTACTTTATTATCCAGAAAAAAATGTATAGTATCAATCTCAATTTGATTGAAGTGTGCATTTAATTACACAGTAAACATAAATATTTGGTGGAGAGATTTGGAGATTTGTTAAGCTCCTGCCAAATATGTCTGGATGTAGAGAATAACACAGTTTATGTAAGAAAATTGGCAGTCCTTTAGGTATTGCTAAGGCAGTGTGAATTTTAGGAAGTGCTGGGATCGTTTGTTTTGCCTTCCTGAATTTGTTCGTGGCAGCCTTTGTGGGTAAAATCCCCACTGATTGTTGTTTGGAAATACTGCTGTAAAATAGAAATTGTCTTTATTAAGTAGCAACTTACATGTGCAGAATGGGCATGAATGAGATGGTATGTGTGGGCCAGGGGGGTTTATAGGTGTAAGATACCTTTGCTTCTCACAGACATTAGTGAATTACAGAAGGTGCTCACAGTTCTGGGTGCTGTAGGACACCTGGCAGTGATGAGTTGCTCCTCAAGTGTGTTCCCAGACGTTGCCTTTAGTTCCTCACATACTGCATGTATTCTCTCAGGAGTGTGATCATTAGTGGATTCTGGTTGGGGTAAAATTGAAGTAATTTTCAGAGTGGATCTGTGTGTCTGGAGGGTGTTTCAGGTGCCTTTCCTGAGTGTCCAGTGTTGCAGATGGAACTAAGCCTGTTGTCTGTGGCTTGCAGTACTGCCAGATTTGCCGGAAGGGAGACAACGAGGAACTGCTGCTGCTCTGTGATGGGTGTGACAAAGGCTGTCACACCTACTGCCACCGGCCCAAGATCACCACCATCCCCGACGGGGACTGGTTCTGCCCTGCCTGCATAGCAAAGGTACAGCCCCTGGCATGGGAAGGGACCTGTTCCCACATCTAGGGTCACAGGTCTGCCAGGGCTTTCTGCAGTGAGCTGTCTGTGTGTTCTCTGCCACTAGATTATGAGATTGGTAGTTCTGTTTAACTTGGATTTTAGTGGCTGTAAAGGCTACAGTTTAATTTGTTCTAAACTGTGGGTTTTCATGTAAGTAGGTGCAGAGTTTCTTGCTGATCCAATACCATCGTTTCTAATTTCTCTTTTAGAATTTATTCGGAATTTGTCTTTCAAATTTTGTCATTAAGTGTTGACAGACCAATGTCTTAATTTGATTCTGTTTGAAGAGAAGAACTGGAGAAAATACTTAGTAAACATTTTTGCTTTGTGTGTTTATATCAGTGTTTTAGCAGCAGGCAAACGTTTGTCCAGACTCTGCCAGCCTGGTTTGTTAGGAGGTAGTTACCAATCTGAACCTCGGGTGCTCTTCTGTTGTCACAAGTTGAGAACCTAAACGACTGGTAACAGGAATTTCTGCAGCCTTATTTGCTTTCAGTGAAAAGTGAATAATCTCTAACTTCAAATATTTCATTTGTTTTGGTGCTTCTGTTTTGGGTCTTCGTTGCTGTCTGTCAGCAATCACAGAGGTCCCTGCAGTGCCTTTGTTATTACTTACTTCAGTTCTCCCTATTATTGTAGGCTAGTGGTCAAACTCTAAAGATAAAAAAGCTTCAAATCAAAGGGAAAAAGAGTATGGAGCAGAAGAGAAGCAGGAAATCAGGAGAAACAGAGGACGAAGACTCTGCAACGACAAGCGCCTCCCTAAAACGAGGGAAAACGGACCCCAAGAAAAGAAAAATGGATGAAAATGTTTCTGTAAGCCAGTTAAAGCAAGAGAACCTCACTGCTGTGAAGAAACCTAAGAGAGATGACTCCAAGGACCTGGCTATGTGCAGGTAAAGTGTCAGAGCCTAAACCTGGGGGTAAGTCTTGGTGGAAAAAGCAGTGCC